CACCTTCTTGTATGTGAGACATGCTAAATGACATAAGGTTTACCATTAGTACATGTATACCTTAGAGATGTAATGGCTTGCTAGCTAATGCCAAGTGGTGAAACAATTATACTAGATTGACGACAGGTGAGGCCCTGCTAGATGTGAAGTGGCTTAAGAGGCTCTATCTATGCATGGCGTGAGGGGATTTCGTGGCCACCGAACATTGTGGCGGGGTGTTGGCCTTTCAGTGACTTTTAATGCATAGATAGAATGGGAATGACAGACGAGGCCCTCTCTATGCCACTACGCGAGGTGGCTAACTATGATTTGGGCTGATGGGCGTAGTACCTCCGAGAATGAGGATGGGTGTTGGCCTTGCAGGACCTCTAGCCTAAGGCATTGAGGACGTAGTAGGAAATTACCCATTGGACTCCTAAGACCCAATTAGCCAGTATATTATTTAATTGGATAACGAGGGGGAGGAAGTAGTGATATATGTAATGAGCAGGTGGATGCACGTTCATGAACTGGTTGTAGTACTGATTAAGCCAAAGAGAACTGTAGGAATTCCGACCTGTATGGGACAAATAGAAATATTGTAGGAGATGTGGTATGTTGGTACGCATAATAAAATATATGTGGAAAACCTACAGTAGATTGAATGGGGAACTTAACAGAATTAACTGGTTTGAAGAATTTAGTTGTACCTGTTGTCTAATAATGAAAAAACAAACAGTGTGTCGGAACATAGGAAACACAATTTATTGGGACCCCTGTAGAGCCTATTGCATAATATATCTACGTACAAGTGTAAGCGCAAAATTGCCCTGCAAACCAAGCACCTTGTAACGGACTATCCCCCAACGATCGGAAGCAAAAATTACCCTGATAGATATAGATTTAGCAACTCATGGCTTTTTAATAGTATCCGTGCAAAGGGTAGAGGGTAAGGATATGCTGTAAGAATGTGAAATATAGATCATAGGTGAATTTAATTTAACCGAGATTTAAGACTGGAATAGATATACACCAACGAGTGAGTACCATAATAGTCAATTTATGCAGAATTAACCATATCTATTCACACTTAAACGGAGGGTGATCAGCCATCATAGTATCTATAACAAAGTATCTACAACCAAAACAATGTTAAGCAGCTATTTATTCAAGGTAAAACAATGATTTACATTAATTTAGCAATTTAACTTATATTAGAAAGAATGCTAGAGGTCAGAATTTCAGATGCCTAACCATAATGCCTGGTTCAGACTAATACGGATGGAATTTGAGAACCATGCTGTTAACATAATATGAATCTTGGCACGAAATACCCTATCCAGCCATATATGAAATGGGAGGGTTTGAATGAAGTAAACAAAAGTTGTCCCCGTTCCTATGTATGAATGGCTGTAACAGACAATGAAATTAACATACGAACTGATTGCAACCAGTTCGGGAGTTTGACCGAAACTGCCATAACATAACATAGTAACTTGCAAAAAGTTTGAAACGAAAATCGTTCGGGAATTATCCACGAAATGACTAAACCATGAAAAATACACAAAATGAAATATGCAAACTGTATAAGCCCTGAGATAGACCTGAACCACGATGACGCCGTAGGACTGTAACGTGGTGCGATGGTTAGGTCTGTATCTTACGATTTTGGTGTGTTCCTGGATCCGTCATCAGAGCTGCCGGTCTGGAGGGGTGAAAAATGGATGTTTGTAGGCAGAGTGCCGCGTCCAGTGGAAGAACAGCAGGAACAGGTAAACCAAAGTAGGGAAATCATGCCCCTCCCACAACTAGAGGCAAAATCCTTAATATATATGTTTTAAGGCCATAGGCCTGAATTTGTGGGAGGAGTTTGAATCTATCTTGTACTATAAAAACTCCCACTACCATTTTACCTGGGCTGTTCTCGTTCAGGTGATACCACTCACCTCACCCCATTTGCTTTAATACCTTTATTTGTTATAGGCCTACGTGTTCGTTGGTTCCGGCACACCCCAACCAACTTTGTATTAACCCGATTTACGTACATTACTAATATGTTTCTGACCACAAATAATACAGTGATATGCTTATTTTTGCGCCCTTTAATGAAGATAATTCTAGTCAGAATTTTGTTGACCAAACCCCAACCATATAGAATGGTATTTTACTTTGGTGCACAGTTAATATTCAAGATTCAAGATTCTGAATGTTCAAATACTTTAGTGCATTTGGTTCCATATTTTAAGCATCCGGTCTGGATGAAACCTGGTTCTCTTATTTATTTTTCTGTCCCCCAAACCAATTATATATTTTTTTGCTACACTGGTCTGAACTCCAAATTACAAATCAAACAAAATTGTTTGTCAATTATCAGTGTTATCATTTTTTTTTTTTTAATATGACACTTCGGAGTTATAGATTTTGGACTACATGCCAATTGTCCAAAATTTGGAATGGATTGCAATTCTTTGGAAACTGAATGCACAAATCTAATCATTTGTCATATATACAATTGTCAAAAGCCAATGCACTATTGGTGTAAGACTGTGGAAGGCTTGCATCCTGGTAGTGCTTATCTAAGTAAGTTCTACAGGAAAATAGACTTGCGTCCATCCAGTTGAACCTTTTTCACATCAGATTTTGCAGTTGATCAAAAAGAAGGCAAAATTTCCAGTTTGAACCCAGAGATGAGCTTAAAATATTTTCATGAAAAATATTGCAAATTAACATCTAATGCTACCCTTCAAGTTACATATCCTCTTTCTTTACCCTTTGGCTGATATACAGAATATAGCTCCTGCCACTTCCAACTGTAGTTCCCCTCAAATTATGCCCCCACTACATCTTCCACTAGTGTATTCCCCCAGTGCATCATCTAATACTACTTTTCCAATGAATTATACAACTGATTGGTCTAGGAAATACTCTATATTTAATCATTCATATGGTCTACACCTAGCAGGTGAGTGGCTTATTTATGATAATATGCTATATGCATATATATTTGTGAGAACTGTATAAATATATGTATACAGTGCATTCAAAAAGTATTCAGACCACTCATTTTTTCACATTTATTATATTGCAGCCTTATGTTACAATTGTTTAAATTATTTACTTTTAAAATCAATCTACACTCAATACTAACTTTTTGAAAGCTGAAAATTCAATTGGCATAAGTATTCAAACACTCTTAGATCTATACAACAAAACCACTCTGTTAAGCATACGTTGGTTTGGTGCTTACAGTGCCAGATTAACATAGGGACTGATGGAGCTGCAACTCCAGGCCCACGACCATGGAATAGGCCCATTGTTAAAAAGAAATATATTTTTTAACAACTCTTCCCATGCTCTTGCCTAAGTATGAAAACTTAAGAGGGATGTAGGGGAACAAAACTGGTGTGAACTGGCTGACAATTAAATTAGTTAAGGTAAAGCTAACTGCGCACTACGCAAATGCTCTTGCTGCTTCAGTCTCTCTATTACTGTGGCATGTTCCCTTTCTTCTACAATCACTACATACACCTTTCCTCTGTCCTAGACTATATAACAAAAGCTTCCTCCTACTAGTAAGAAGGCTACGAGAGGAGTGGGCAAGTGAGTGCTCGGGGACAGTCCTTAGAAAGGGTGTATCGAGTGCATCATTAGATGCGTTTATGCCAAGCTCAGACTTCTGTCTGCATGGTATGCACTCTGTTGGTCATCCTGCATGATTGGCAGGCAGCCTGATGTGCATTTACAGCAGGTTGACCTAATTCTTTGGACAGTCATGCCCCCTTTTTGGTCATGTTTGCATCTTTGGGCGGTTCTGATTACGGGACTTGTATCAGTGGCCCACAGTTTTACCCTGTCCACCGACATTCTACTTCACCAGACCTGCTGTTTGGGAGTATGAATTTACTTGAGAGATGAAAGCGAGAAATTAGCACAGGGTATGTGTTTTTTGATAGCTATATCATGTGAGTTTTCCTCCAGCACCACCTCCACGAAATACATGACGCTTGGGAGGTATGACTATTCGTGTTTTCTGTCGATAAGATTTTTTAATTAGGTCTATCATAATTGTCAGCACTAGGCCCAAGGGCTCTTAATCTGACCCTGGGTGCTTAGAGTGTACCCTTTAAATAAGAGATTCTTTTCCAAACTGTGTATGGTAGCCTATATTCTGCAAGTCTTTTCTCAAACCTTCAATTTGTTCTTTTTTGAAAAAGCAGTATATGTGCATGAAAGAAAATGGTATAGGCTAACTTGCTTTTTATATTGTATCTTTGTAATTAATCTTAGAATACTGTTAAAGCCATTTAGAGCTCAATTCTTCAGTCTACGTATTTCCTTAACCCTAGAAAGTTGTGGGAATACTTTTATTACTGCATTTTGGTCTTGCAACCTACACTATCATGTGTTTTTTGTGTTTTCTATATACCTTTCTTTATATGTGCTGAGAGGAAGCCACCTGGAGGATAAAGTGTACTAAGTATTACTTTTTACTATTACTTCACAATTTGCACATATATTAGGCTTATCACCTAAACAGCCACTTTATTGACAAATATTGCTCCACTCTTTTCTTATTTCTTCTTGTACATAGTATGTGTGTTTGAGGGTACCACATTTAGAGTGTGTCAGCAGCAGTGTATTATAATTATATCCAACATAAAATAGTAATTGAATTTCTTAAAAAGGGCGCTCCAAAATCCACCATTTTTTTTCTTGTCTTTGTTTAAACACTGCATTTTTGTAGTAGCTGCTCTAACCCATTAGAAATGGATGTCTTCAACAAGAGATCCACATTTGGGATAGATATTGACAATAAATGTAAAAGTATCCCTCTACAGGTAAACACCTCTATGAATGACAAAGAAACACAAATTAAGTTACTATGTAATCAAAAGAAACCCTGCTAACAAAACATTAAGTGGGAAATAGCCACGTTAGATAAATATATAAAAGACAAAATTGTCCCTAGAGGCCTGCGTTTTAACAAAGTCCTCACTTTTGATAGGGATGACATGGAATTTATGGACGAGTGGTATGCCTTTATGGATAACCTCTCTTCCCAGACGATGACCTTTATTATTAAACGTAGACAACTCACTTTGAGAAAGCTGGATAGTGAGATCTCACAAATTAAAAAAGATTCTGAAAAACTAAAGACAGAGAAAGATTTTATAGAACAATCCTATAAAGGAGAAAAATTGGAAAAGATAGAAAACGATGTCGTGGGTATAACACAAAAGCAAAACCAACAAGACGTCAAAGACTATATGACCAAAACAGCTTATGCAAAAAAATTCTCCAAATCGAACACATCTAATTTTAAAAAGCAAAGCTATGAGTAAAGGAAAAACCAACAGGAACCAGATCAGACACAACAACAGTCTAGATATACAGAAAACAAGAGAGAACCACCTAGAAAGCAGCATTCACATTATAACTCTTCGAAATGGCAGACACAAAGAAGGAGAACAAATTTCTCTTTCAATGTGGAACCAAACAACACACAAATTAGGAATAGATTCCAACCACGAAGTAATTTGGAAAATAGGAACAACCCCTTCTCGTCTTTTTTAGAGAAATGAAGGAGGACAGTATATTTAAAATCTCCCCCTCTCCAAACCAAGAGATTCAGGAGAAAAGAGGGAAGAGAATAAATAGAAATAAACCTATGGCTGCACAACCTATTTTAATTTTTAACCTATCAGCATAAACCTTAAAAGAAAACCATATCAGCCTATTAAATAAGGGATTAAAATTTGCCCCATCAAAAGAACTAGATAAATTTCAATTCTTTATAGATCTCAACAAATTCAATAGAAATCTATGCTTAAAAGAAAATAAATCTAAAAAAGAAGACCAACCCTCTACGCAGACCACTAGTGATACACAGGTAGATACAATCACGCACACCAATTTAAGGAAAAATCTTTCTTCCCAAAATGGCAGATGTCAGAGGAAATGATTACATTTCAAAAAATGGTCAACACTGACATCAATACGATTAGGCCACTTAACAAACACCAACTAAACTTAACAGCACAAGAATTACTAGCTTTGAAGGAATTGAAAAGGGATGAAAGTTTAGGTATAAAACCCGCTGACAAAGGGGCGGGAATAGTCCTCATGTCCCAGAAACAATATCTAGCGGAAGCACATAGAATACTTGGTGATGAAAAAAACATATCACCGGCTTAATTCTGATCCCACTCTTTCAATTAGAGAAAAATTCGAGACACTTATAAGTACAGGTTTAAAAGAGGGAATACTGAATACAAAAGAAAAATAATATATGATTCCTAAACATCAAAGACTACCCATCTTTTACTTACTACGAAAGTACATAAAAGTACGGCACAAACTCTAGGTAGACCGATTATATCGGGCATTGGATCAATCTCCTGTAGTATGTGGATCATATTCTCCAACCCCCTAGTGCAGAACCGACCATCTTATTTAAAAGATACAACAAGCATACTTCAAATTCTGGGTGAAGTTGAATGGTGTGAGGATTATCTTTTAGTATGTGCAGATGTTTCCTCTCTTTACACCAACATTAGACATCATTTAGGACTCAAGGCAGTCAAACATATATTGGAAACCTATTCACTTTATCCTCAGAAACAAATTGATTTTGTATTGGAATCAATAAGGTTGATACTAGAAAACAACTTCTTCTGGTTCCAAAAGTGTGGGTCGGCTATGGGCACCAAGCTTGCCCCCAGTTATGCCAATCTTTTCATGGCCCATTGGGAAACTACACACATGGGAAGAGATGGTGACTGGGGGTCAAACTTGGTGCTCTTTAGATGCTATATAGACAATCTGGTCATTATCTGGAGAGGTGGAGAGGAACGTCTTAAACTTTTTATTGAACACATCAATTTGAATAACTGGGGCATTAATTTAACTTTTTGACATAGTAGAACAGAGATTATTTTTTAAGACCTAACTATATATGTGGAAAATAATCTTTTGAAAACAAAAACTTTTTTCAAAGCCGTAGACGTGAACAGCTATATTGAAACCAGCAGATGTCACTATAGCCCATTGCTGATTAACATACCTACGGGTCAACTACTTAGACTAAAAAGAAACTGCACAAAAACCAGCACTTTTATTAAACAAAGTCAAAAATTGATTAAAGACTTTAGAGACAGGGGATATCGGGAAGAGCTACTGGAGGGTGCAATTAAGGATATACACTCCAAAGAGAGAAATTAACTGCTATAATATAAGAAGAATAATAAGGAATTAACTAGAGACATACCCTTTATAAATCATAAAGTCAGACATTTTATTAACCACTATTGGCATGTACTTTTGGATGATCCAGACCTAAGAAATATTCTACCATCTGAACCTAAAATTGTACAAATCTGAAAAGAATTCTGACAGACGGTACTTTAACAACTTCAATAAGTGACCTCAAAAATAATTTTTTAAACTCATACCAAGGTTTTTTCAAATGCAAGAATTGCAATGCCTGCAAGAAAACCAGAGGAAAGAAAAGGTGTTACAATAAATTTTAAGCTAATGGACATGGGCACGTCATAAAGGATGGCATGATGGTCTTGTGGATTAAACTACATAGGGCTAGTGATGTCACGAACCCGAAATTTTCGGTTCGCGAATGGCGAACGCGAACTTCCGCAAATGTTCACAAACCGGCGAACCGGGCGAACCGCCATAGACTTCAATGGGCAGGCGAATTTTAAAACACACAGGGACTCTTTCTGGCCACAATAGTGATGGAAAAGTTGTTTCAAGGGGACTAACACCTGGACTGTGGCATGCCGGAGGGGGATCCATGGCAAAACTACCATGGAAAATTACACAGTTGATGCAGAGTCTGGTCTTAATGCATAAAGGGCATAAATCACCTAACATTCCTAAATCACACCTGACATATGACATATTGACACCTTGACATATGGATTCACACCTGTCCTCAGAGACCCTGATACACACTGACACAGAGCAGAATAGGGACTGTTCCCCCTACATAGGGTCACTTGGCAGATATGGATTGACACCTGTCCTCAGGATCCCTGATACACACTGACACAGAGCAGAATAGAGACTGTTCCCCCTACATAGGGTCACTTGGCAGATATGGATTGACACCTGTCCTAAGGATCCCTGATACACACTGACACAGAGCAGAATAGGACTGTTCCTCCTACATAGGGTCACTTGGCAGATATGGATTGACACCTGTCCTCAGAGACCATGATACACACTGACACAGAGCAGAATAGAGACTGTTCCCCCTACATAGGGTCACTTGGCAGATATGGATTGACACTGTCCACAAGGACAAGCTGCAGGCTTCCTGGCAGGGCCCATACAAGGTGGTAGAGCAGGTTTGTGATACCACCTTTGTGATCGGTGCGGTCACAGGCACGGGAGGCAAGCGCATGCTCCATGTGAACATGCTCAAGCCATACCACGAGCGCACGGAAGAGGTAACCGCGATCTGTGCACCTGCCACTGAAGATTATGATAATTTGCCACTCCCAGATCTCCTAGACCAAGAGGGCCAGAGCGGAGACCTGGGAGAAGTACAGTTAGGAGAACGGTTAGACCCCCAGGAGCGAACCCAGGTCCAAAGACTAATCCAGGACAAGGGGGCCACGTTTTCCAACCTACCTGGGTACAGTCCGTTAACCACTCACAAAGTTGAAACCCTAGACCAGACCCCCCTTCGCCAAACCGCCTATCGCATACCCGAAGCAGTTAAAGAAAATATGCGGAAAGAAATTGAGGAAATGATGCAGTTAGGGGTGATAGAACACTCTGACAGCCCCTGGGCCTCCCCGGTAGTACTAGTACCGAAACGGGACGGCACAACCCGTTTCTGTGTAGACTACCGGAGGCTAAACGATAAAACAACCTCAGACGCCTACCCTATGCCCCGGATAGACGAGCTCCTAGACAAAATGGCCAGAGGCCAGTACCTCACCACAATAGATCTGTGCAAGGGGTACTGGCAAATTCCATTAGCCGAGGACGCCATCCACAAGTCGGCATTTGTCACCTCGTTTGGCCTGTATCAGTTTAAGGTCATGCCATTCGGGATGAAGAATGCCCCGGCTAACTTTCAGAGGATGGTAGATCGGCTAGTGGATGGGTTTCAGGAGTATGGCTTTGCCTACTTGGATGATATAGCCATTTTTAGCTGCTCCTGGCCCGAACACCTGACCCACATAGGAGCCATACTAGACCGGATTAGGGAGGCCGGACTGACCCTAAAGCCCAGTAAGTGCCATAAAGGAACGCGTAAAAACCTCCCCAAGATAGTAGTATGGGCCCCAGAGTGTGAACAGGCCTTCCAACAGCTCAAGACAGCGCTCATTAAATCACCTGTACTTTCTGCTCCTGATCCAACTAAACGCTTTCTTGTCCATACAGACGCTTCTATGTTTGGATTGGGAGCAGTACTGAGCCAAGTCGGAGCAGATGGCGGCGAGCAACCCGGGGCTTATTTAAGCCGGAAACTTTTGCCCAGGGAAGTAGATACACTGCCATTGAAAAGGAGTGCCTGGCGGTGGTGTGGGCCCTCAAAAAGCTGTAACCTTACTTGTATGGACAACCGTTTACCTTACTCACAGATCACAACAAATTTGGGGCACTGCGCGTGCAATCTAATGTGCCACCAGATAGGAGTGGTGTGTTAAGTAGTACTATTCTTATCAGTTTAATCCCTGTTACGTCCCGTATCAGGGGACGTGTATATGGCATCGATTTTAGGAACCGGGAGATGGAAAAAGATGCTTGGTCAGTCCTCCTTCTTCAAATTTGGAGCACTGTGCGTGCAATGTAATGTGCCAACAGATAGGAGTGGCACTGTGAACTGGCACAGTATCCACTGTGAGCCTGACACACCCACTTTGAGACAACTAACTGCTATTCAATCTATAACAGTGAAAAATGTTTTTTGGTTTTTAAATGCACGCTATTGTGACACCAGATAAAGCACTGTGTGGCAGAGTACACTAGGGTGAACTTTGAGACAACTAACTGCTATTCAATCTATAACAGTGAGTTTTTGTTTTTAAATGCAAGCTATTGTGACACCAGTGAGTGAGTGGGCACTGGGCACAGTATCCACTGTGAGCCTGACACACTTTGTAACTGCTATTCAATCTATAACTGCAAGCTATTATGACACCAGATATGAGTACTGTGAACTGGCACAGTATCCACTGTAGCCTGACACACCCGCTTTGAGACAACTAACTGCTATTCAATCTATAACAGTGAAAAAAGTTTTTTGTTTTTAAATGCAAGCTATTGTGACACCAGTGAGTGAGTGGTGGCACTGGGCACAGTATCCACTGTG